GGAAGGGCCTGGAGGAGCAGAAGCTTCTCCCTGTCCTCTATATGTACAGAAACATTGCTGGCTGTTCCTCTTTGGCAGTGAGTATGGGGAAGTGCACAGTCTGCAGCATGCCTGGTAGGAACAGGAAGAGCAAGCAGCCCTGATATGAATTTTTTTTTGTTAAAAACAAAAATGAGTTAAGGACCTGAGCAATGCTAGGTAAACGTACTAGTATTTCATAAAGGTTCCCAATACTAATTCAGAGTTGATGTAAATCCACAAATTTACTATGAGCTTGTATTTGCTCAACCTAAAAGTTGGACCTCTTTCTGCCCAAGGTGGGCATGTTGGTGCATCAGAGCATAAATGTGTCATTAAGATCAGTTTCTCTAGTATGGTTCTGCCAAAAAGCAACTGAAAATAGTATTGCAGAGCTTGATATCTGTTAATTATTTCCATGTCCAGCAAACTCAGTTTACAAGTAATTTTTTTTCCTGACAATTTTGTACTTTCAGCTAGAATCAGTCTGGGTTTTTTCCTCTTTGTGCCTCATTATGGGATCATAAAGATTCACATCAGCTCAGAATTAGTCCTATGAACCTTTATGAAATACTAGCACACTTACCCAGCGTGTTGCTCAGGTCCTTAACTGTCAATTGATTTTGCTTTATCAATAAATCTCAGACTAAATAACCTGGCAAATTTTCCCATCCCCCCGAAAATAATTTTCATTCTTTATTTTCCAGGCGCAGTCCTTCTTGTGTCTTTAATAATTCTGAAACAAAGGCAAGAAAATGTCAAGAAAACTTTAAATGCTCCATTACTATCAAAAGGAGCAAGACAACACACAACTTATGGTGTAATGGGGCACACACAACCAGTATACGCTGGCTGGTAGTTCAATAGGATTGCACAGAATAGTAAAAGTCTCAAACATTTTCTTCATTTCTTTTCTCATGCCTAGTGACTTGACAGATGTTTATTTAGGACTGTATGTATGGGCAGAATGTAAGACATTATTAATCCAAGAGGATTTGTTTGTGTAGCCAAAACATGTAATTATAGCAATGAATGATCAAACACGAAATGTACAAGTGATTTGATTTCTGTAGGCCTGGCTTAGTTCAGGAATAGGCACATCATTACACACTCTCACTCCTACATCCAAGGGAGAAAATGATGTTTCCTGGCAATCCTCTCAAATTCAAGAACACATAATACCATAAGTGAGCATTTAGTAGCATCATATACCAGGGCCTGTTTAAAGTATGTTAGTTATTTCTAATTCCTCTTAAGAACATACAAAATCTCTTCTGCTCCCACTGTTTCCCTTAAGGAGTGAGGCAGAGAACGCTGTGTCCCAGAGTCACCATTCTGCAAAAATGGGGAGAATATCTGTAGAGAAAGTGGTGGGCAATTACTGAAAAATACCTCTCTCCTGTGTTTCCTGCTAGTCCCCAATTGAAGCTGGGGACTAAGAAAAAGCTGCTCACTATTATAGGACTGTAATATCAGGCAAAAAGCCCAAGAATATTTCTTCCTCCTTCATGGCACTCAGCTCTACATACAATCCAGCCCTTCAGAGCCACCAAACTTCCTGTAAGAGTGGTGAGCAGGTGCAACAAAATGTATGTTTATACTGCAAAAACAGATCTATGGCATCAAAGCTCAGAGACCATGTCAACTAACTTGCACCCCCAGCCAGATTTCAGATACCAGCCTCCAGTCCAAGCCTGAATATCTACACTGCTATATTTTAGCTGTAGAGTGTGAATCCAAGTTAATTGGCCTTGGCTCGAAGAGAGTGAGGGATTGTTTTCCTGGCCTTGGGATGAAAACCAAACCTCACCTACAGACAACCTCCTAACCTGAAGCAAATTCTTTCCAGCAACCAAGCATCACACCTCAAACATACTCACCCCAGGAACCTACGCCTGCAATAAACTCCATTACCAAATCTGTCCACACATCTATACAAGTGATACTATCTCCACATAAGCCACCACATCAGCAGCTCACACAACTGCACATCCTCTGATCATGTGATCTATGCCATTAAGTGCCAACAATGCCCCTCTACCATTTATATTAGCCAAACTGGATAGTCTCTACAATAAAGGATTAATGAATACAAATCAGATATTCAAAATGGTAACACACACAAACCAATTTGGTAACGTTTTAACCTGTCTGGGCACTCATTAATGAATTTAAAAGCAGCCATTCTTTTGCAAAGAAATTTCAGGAGCCAACAAGAGAGATACTGCAGAATGGGCCTTCAGATGCAAATCTGAAATCTTCACACAGGGACTGAACAAAGACATCACCTGGATGGGCCTTTATATTCAACACCCAAATGACATCAAAAGCTAGTTATCGGGCACTTACAGCCCACTCTATTAGTCCCATTTAGCATAGACTCTATAACTGACGGGGGAGGGGGGGTTTCTCCTTCCCTTTCCCCCCCTCTTTCTGCTTTAAATTTTGGGTTTTCTGTGCTGCCTCTTGCTCCAATCATATGAAGAAGTGGGTTATACCTATGAAAGCTCATGATACTATACATATATTTTTTTAGTCTTGAGTGCTACAGGACCACTTGTTTTTAAAGGTTGATTTTTTTTTAAAATTTACAGACTAACACAGATACCCATCAGATTATAAAACACAACATACTACCTGATGACAAAAGATAAATGTATGTACCATGCTGTATTGGATACAACATACATGAAAGAAAGTATTAAATAATATTTAAATAATATCTAATATTAAAGTGTCAGGAATTAGAAACTTCTTTTAAGACAGTGTTTCTCAAAGAGGGCTCTGGGCCCACTTTGGGAAAGCCACAGCGAGCCTGCCCCACCTGTTCGTTTATCTAAAGGGTCTTTAGCCACAGAGTCTTCTGGCTCCCATTGGCTCCGGTTCACCATTTCTAGTCAAGGGGAGCAGCCTGGGCCATGACACTTCCCATGACTCCCCTTGGCTGGAAATAATGAACTGGAACCAAGGGGAGCCGCAAGGCTCTGTGGCTATGGATCCTTTAGGTAAATAAGAATGAGTCTGGTAGCAGCTTTCCCAAAGCGAGCTCACGCCTCCCTTTGAGGAACAGTTTTAATGTACCAACTTCTGTTGGTGAAAGAAACAAGCTTTCAAGCTTACACTGAGCCCTTCTTTAGGTCTGTGTACGTTGAAAAACCTTTCTAACCAATAGGAGTTGGTACAATAAGAGATATTATCTCGCCCACATTGTGTGTCTACTCTTCTGGGACCAGCTCAGGTACCCCACCATTGTATACAGGAATTAGCACTTATAGCTAAGCCTGGGACTAGTTAGCTCCAACTCCTTACTGAGTCATAGCAGACTCCAGAGTGCCTAATTGGCTGGAGAAAGCAGCAGGAACCCTCTGAAGCCCAGCAGCAGTATTAGGCCAATGGCTGCTCAGCACATTCTCCCACAGTTGCATTAGTTCCTATGTCATGTCCCCTGACTTGCTCCTGACTTTTTCCTGCTTTGGATCCAGCCTCATTCCAAATAACCTGGCTCTGACCATCAATGCTGATTCCTTATTTTAGTTCTGACCTTTGGCTCTGGCGTCGCTAACCCTAGGCTTCTATTTCTGGCTACCAACTCCTGCTCTAACCGCTAGGCTTACCTTCTGCTCCAACCAATAGGTGCCACAACCACCATTCCAGTCTCTTTATTACCTTTAATAATACTGAGTTTAAAAAAAATTGCTGTGTGAATTTATAAATTGGTTACACCCCTCTAACCATCTCAGTTTTTAATCAATTAACTGACTTTATCAGTTCAGGTAAAAGTAAGGCCTGATTCTATCCTGGGTCCTTCTCCTTTCCTATATAATTAGAGAAGTAATGTGGCAGTGAACATCTGTAAGAGCCCTGATCCTGTCCCTAGGGAATAAGAGTCATCAGGAAGCATGCCAAACTCATTGCCAAATGACTAAAATATATGGGAAGAACTGTGGCGCTTGTGAGCAGGACAGTGGAGGCATTTTTGTACTCTACCACCTCAAGAATCCCTGTAGGATGAAAACAAGTCTGGACAAGGAGTGACATGTCCATGGTCAAGGTCTCTCCATAGGTTTCTTAGCTGGTTTGTGACCGCATGCAGGGTGAATAAGTTGAGGTTCCAACCTGTGGACCAAGCTGAGTTCTTTCCTCTGGCAGAGTGAAGATCCACAGGCAGAATAGCTATGAAAGACATACCTTTTTGGAGCTCCTGGAGTCTGTTTGGGGAAAGAGGGTCTCTTGACTTTTAATGTGCTTCACTAGATGAAGTGGGAGAAAGAGCTGTAGAAAGTAAGAGTCCTGGTGGGTGCAGTATAAATTAGATTGTTTTCTTGCTGGGTCAAAGACCTTGGTTTATGTGTTATAGTGTGCCCCTCAGCCGTTGGAGCATTGTAAAATAAATGAAGTATGAATTTTTTATACATTAGCCATTGCAAATGAGAATAAGGATTCTAAGTAGAAGCGAGCAGTTACAACTCTTCAGTTTTAGGCAGGCACAGTTATTTCATTTTAGGGCCTAACCCAACTCCTAATGAAGTCATTGCTTTAGAACCAGGGATATCAGATGATACATTTTTTCCACAAGAGCCATTGTCAAACAGGCACATTCCGCAGTTCTTTTGTCTCTCTCTACACATTTAATTAATTCACTGACTATAGCAGTATTTGGCCAGATACTTTTACAATTATTACTTTCTTTTACCAGGATCACAAAACCATTAACCTGTATCAAAGCCACAAAGATCTATAATACAGTCATTAAAAAAAAATAAGATGCTGAGCACCAACATGATATTCCAGAGAAGTGTGATTCTTCTCTGTTTAAAAAAATGGGCAAGTTCAGAAAATATTTCACGAGTGTATTTTCTCTTACAAGAGTGGTACCCAACTGTTGCCCGCAGATTCCTGGTGGTCTGTTATGGTACTATAGAGGGCCAACGGAAAGTTGGGAACTGAGAGGCTCTGTGCTGGCCTAATTCTAGTCAATCTCTTTAACTCCCGCCCCCTCCCAAAGCATAAATTTACATTATGAAGCTACAGTCCTTTCAAGCCATAATGACATAGCAATATACTCATGTATTTCAATAATATAGACCATTTCATTGTTTTTTAAAAGGTTAGGTAAGAATAGAGTCTGTAACTAAGCACTTTCCCAAACAAGAACTGGCAATTAAAAAAAATAAGATAACCGGGAAAGAACTTTAATATGTGAAAAGACACTGAAATTTCTCAAAGGCCTGTCAAGGAATAATGACTCCGCAATATAGAACATCTCCATTAATACTTCCCCAAAGTAATTCCAGTATTTTAAATATTTAAAATACCCCCTTGAAAACTTACCATGAATACAAACTATTGAACAAACCAGCAATTCCGTTTAATTAATTATATTTTCCAGATAATATAAAAATACTTCTGATGTTTCAACTGAAACCATACTTCTAAAGTGTCTCTGATTTCATCAGGAGGCAACAGCACATTTTATTTTGCCTATTATGTACTAACTTAGTGTAGCAGAATTTACTGAAAATCAGCTCTTATACTTTAATGGCTGAGATGAAATGTAAACATTTTGACATAATTTCACGATGTGTATGTTTCAATTGGGATTAGATGCCTTTACAATTGTATGTCCAATATTTGTAGATTTTGACCACTAAAGATTAATGTGTTCCTTTTACACAAGACTGTTTAAGATATAAGGTGTAAAAAGTATTAATGAAAAAAGCCCTTTAAAATATCTTCCTGAATCACAGACTAAATTATATGCTGAGCAATATTTAAAGCAACCCTACTGAGTTCTATGTGGTTGCAGGAGATGTGAATCAGGGGAGAATTTGACTCAGATCTGCAATAGATATTTTCAAAAGTAATGAATAGAAGGAATAGGCTTTTCAATAAATTAATTAATTTAACTAACAAAGTAAACATCTACAGGCACAAGCCCTAGAGTTTATTATTCTCAGGGATGCAAGTAACTATTGGCTCAAATAGTTTACGATTGGGAAGTAGAAAGAGTAAACCACAGACAACAGGAAATCACTCTCTAAATTATGAAAAAAAGTGTTGGAAGTGACAGCCATGGAGACTGAAAACTTTATTTATCCACAGACAAGCGCAGCATGAATGGCAGTAGTGCACACTGCTGCACAACTGTGCTTCAGAAACTGACCAAGAAGATAAATTGGCAGAGTCCATAATCATTCAGTTTTTGGTCTTTGCAATGGTGTCAATTAATACCAGTGCCGATGGTAGTTTCTGTGATAAGGACATCTGCCCACAAAAAAAAAACAGAACACCTATTCCAACACACTAGAACTAGTACAACAATGAGGTGACTCAAAGTAACTAGCCAATGAACAACATAAAAAATTTAAAGCACTAGAATTCAAGGTAAGTTTTATAATAACTTATTTAAAAAGTATTTGTATGACGCTTTCCTCAGAGGTTATTTTATCCAAAGAAACAAATATTGAAATACTCATTCTTATTACACCAAATTCCTTCATTTTGCTTGAAAGTCATCAAAAAAATTGTCTTTTTCTCATCCCTTCCCTTCAAAGGGCATCTAACCTCCCTCCCCCATCCTAAAAGGATATACAGCATACCTTTTTGGTTTTCATTTTAGGTACCTGTCTATGCTTTAGCCTTGGCAGTATAATAAAGGACCTCAGAAGAAAGAACATTCCCCGTAAACACATTTGAGAAACTTTCAATTTTTACATCATGTTCAAGACTTTGTATAATGATTTGCTAAAAGTGAAGTAAAAATCTCAACCACTAATGTAACACTTTTTCCTACACTGAACTGTGTTACTTCAAGCAAAGGATTAGTTGAAAAAGGAAGAATTAACCTTCCAACAGTGTTTATAAATTTCAATCCAAAACCACAAAGCAGATGCTCAATTACAAAATAAAAATATTTCAAATTTCACCATGGTGTAAAGGTACATTTTAGAACTGTTTAAATTAAAAATTTCTAATAAAATGACACACACAAATTTTCATATGGGGAACAGCTGTAGATTTCAATAATTAAAGCTAGATCTGCAATCAAGCCCTGAAAAAAATCTTTTGAAAAAATATTACATTTTTATGATAAAGCTATGCTTCATTAAAAAAAAAAAAGAGCCACACAGAGGTTCCGCACTATTAAAGGCAAACTAAGCTAGACCATATACAAATTATTAAATGGGCATAAGAGTGTGCATTGCATTTATGTGGGCTGAGTTATGACTGTAAAAGTCAAAACTTGTTTGTAACATTGCCTGACCAATCACAATTACACAAAAACGGCATAAAATAGAAGATAAAATTTAGCTATTTTTCTATACCATTTTACCTGTTAGCCTAACTAATATGTGTATGTATGTATATTGTAAATTTGAAAATCTTATGGGAATAAAAAAATTGAGATAGCTTCGCTGAAATAATGGAGTGGTCATAAAAAGCCAGGTGGTAAACTCCTACATCAGTAAGGAATTACTTCAAGTAGTCTGCCCTGAGTCAAATAGTCCTTTTCATAAAAGCTGTTGAAAAAAGGACATAACCAAGTTAAATTTTATCTTTAATTATGTCATGTGTGTTAGGAAGAAATATTTAAACAAACTAGATTTTAAATGAAAAAATGTAATAGATTATTCAGTTTCATATTTTAGTTCTTGCACTACTATGGTGCAATGTTTGGATTGCAAACTGGAAAAATGCTTGCTTCTGAACAAAAAATTATTCATTGAATTTGAGAATTTTTTTTTTAATTAAAAACACAAAAATCCTAAATATTGTGCCTCAATTGCAACATATCATCACTAAATCTGGATTTGTATAGCACTTCAAAATCATGTATATTTCTATTCATCTGTAATTAAATTCAGGACAAAAAAAGCATAGAAAAAAATTCTTGCAAGATTCCCCTTGCTAATACACAGTGTGCTTCTTTCCACCATGCACCTTATTTCTTGGTGGAAGGATGTTTACAACAATTTTTATTTAAGAACAATTAGCCATTCTGTAAGAGCAAGAACAAATTATAAAGTCTGTGGTTATAATGAGAAATGCACCTGGATAGGGCATGCCACTTGAGCACTTCCTCCACAATGAATACAAGGCAAACAGCTCTCATTGGGACTGCATACACCACACAATTTCTTATTTAAAAGAACTTGAGAACTAACAACATCTTTCAAGGATACACTATTTTAAACAACTGCTGGCTGGCAAATACTATCTCAAGAAACTACATTTATATGCCTACATGGTTTGATTTTAATTTACCCCCAAATGGAAAAACATTGGAGGGAACCCTTTACATTCGTAAAATTCAAGTGTAACTGTAATGCTGAGTAATATGTTTGGTTTGTCCTGAAAAAATTCTGAACTGTGTATGCCACAGTTCTTTATCAGTGCAGATGCAGCAGAAGACTGCTGTGGTTGGCTCAGTGGATTAAAAATGCTTTTTTATCCAAGTGTAACCTTACAGGATATATGTAAAATTGTGTCCTTCTCTGGCCCTATACACAACTTATCTACAAGATAGTGTTGGCAGTAGTAACTGCAGTTCATTATTATTTGCATTCAGCTCTCATCCATCTGTTCCTTCGCTTTTTTTTAGGCTTCAACTTGGTCAATTTTTTTGGGGGTTTCTCAGTCTTCTGATTTTCAACAGAATCTACCCCAAGAACATGTTCAGAGCAGCATAACTGTCCATCTAATGTAGAATTTAGTACTGTCCCATCTTCGTGTTCCTTGCAGAAAGAATTTGGGCAGAAGTGGCAAAAAGAAACAGAAGGCTTGCCACAAACATCACAGTGGTGCCAAGGACACTCCCATTTTCCTGTAATCAAAGATGAAGAAAATTAGATAAACTGATTTTCTCTTTGGTAACTGGAGAATAAAGTTTATGTTGCAAAAAGCAGAAAATAAATGTAGTGTTTTAATGTCTCCATGATAAATATTGACTTTGCTTTTTAAACAGTGTAGTTCTAACCAAAATATAACTGGAAACAGGTTGAACCTCTCTCGTCCAGAACTTCTGGGTCCTGACCAGTGCCAAACTAGAGAATTTGCAGAACCATGGAGGTCATTTTTGTCTAGCAGTATTACCAACGCTTCCAGAGTTTACTGGACTCTTAGAAGACATTTAGGGGTAAATTAGAGCAAAATAACAGCACAGAACACAGAGCCAGGACTGGTGGCAGTAAACAAACTTTATGAGACCATGGAGAACTTAGCCACACCCATGATAAGTGGATATCCAGTTAACTAAAATCATGCCGTACCATGGATGTTGCTGGAACAAAGGGTACGTCTAGACTACATGCCTCTGTCGCCAGAGGCATGTAGATTAGGCTACCCGACACAGTAAAATGAAGCGGCGATTTAAATAATCGCCGCTTCATTTAAATTTACATGGCTACCGCGCTGAGCCAACAAACAGCTGTTCAGCTGTTGTAAATTTAAATGAAGCAGCGATTATTTAAATCGCCGCTTCATTTTACTGTGTCAGGTAGCCTAATCTACATGCCTCTGGCGACAGAGGCATGTTGTCTTGACGTACCCAAAGTGTCCTGGACTAGAGAGGTTCAACCTGTAGTCTGTTAAAAGCAAAACAGTACTGAACAGCACACAACCACATTTTACTTAAACAGCACTAAACTAAAATCAGTATAAATTATCCAGGGAGCTATTTGCATTATCTTTTGGGTTCCAGTCAATTATAGTAAGAGCTTTCTGCATTTTAATGATAACTTCTGTTCATGTCGAAACCAAATAAATTCAGTGAACTCAATGCTGTTGCTCTTTTGCTTCGGTCAATTTGTGGCATTTGGAAACCTCTATCCTTCCCAGAAGTTACAGCTCAGAACTAATACAACACTAAATTTACTTTTGTGTTACATTTCTACATGCACATCTATCTTTTCCCTTTTCTTACTTCCAAAAACAACAACAAAAAGTGGAGTAGAGTTAAATGCAGGGAAAATTAATTATTTTTTGAGCATTATCTACATGTATCTTCATTGCAGGTGGTGCAAATATCACTGAAACTGGCCAAGTTGCAGTGTCCTGTGGGGATTTGTAGACACCCTATATGTCCTCAGCACACCCTTTCAAGAGGAGGTACAGCTCCAATCGTCACTCAGTTATTTCTAACCATCAGAGGCAATGAACAATATGCAGGACTCATTGCTATCCCAGTCTGCTCGCTTTTGGGCAAGTTTAGAATGTCTCTCAGTCGTGCACTTAGTAATTAATAAAAATTTCTGCTGTAAGCTGGGAGTTAATCAGTTGGAAATAACAGAAGAGGAAAAAGTCCTTGTGTGTTGATCCATCACTCACTCAGTTATTTCTAACCATCAGAGGCAATGAACAATATGCAGGACTCATTGCTATCCCAGTCTGCTCGCTTTTGGGCAAGTTTAGAATGTCTCTCAGTCGTGCACTTAGTAATTAATAAAAATTTCTGCTGTAAGCTGGGAGTTAATCAGTTGGAAATAACAGAAGAGGAAAAAGTCCTTGTGTGTTGATCCATCACAAGATGATCATGAGTCACCAGCATGATGCAGCCAGAAAATGGTCAAATGTGATCCTAGGATGTATGACGCACATTATTTTCAGTAGAAATAGGCAGGGATTAATGCCATGGAGCAAAGCACTGTGTATAATTCTGCTCACCCACATCTAGGAAAAATTAATTCAAACTGGAAGTGCAGAGAAAAGTCAGGAGGATGATCAGAAGAACGGAGAGTCTATCCTACAATAGGACATAAAAAAAAGTCTAGTTGTTTAGTCTTGGCTGAGATGAGATAGCATTGCTCTCTATACATACACTGGGGTAAAGTGCAGGTGGGGAGAAGAGCTATTTGAGCACAGTATTGAGCCAAGAGAAAATGACTTTAAACTGGACATCAATAAATTTAGGAGGTAATTAGAATTTTTTTTTTTACCATTAGAGGAGTAACTTTCTGGAGTCTTCTAATAGGTGTAGTGTGTGTGTGTGGGGGGGGGGCGGGGACGGCGGCAAACAACTTCTTACTAGTTTTCAGATGGAACTTGTTAAATTTATATACAAGAATATACTCAGGAGGTCTCTTCCAGTCTATGTTCCTATTCCATGCTTCTTCTGCATAGCCCCATACCCCTAAACCGCCAAGACAGCTAGGCACAGGAGGGGTACACTCTCGATCAATGTTCATTGTGCAAGGAAAGTCCAGGAGAGTGATCTTCCAGGAACGTCTATATTGGCATGGTCTTCTGGAACCAACTGACTGATGCAGGTTAGACTGGTTTAAATCAAAGTGATTTAAAGCTGCTGTTTAAATCACCAAGGGAAATGCCCTAAAACTTTTCCATTTCGACTTCAGGGGTTTTTGTTTTGTTTTGTTTTTTTAAAGAAAAGTGCACTCTCATTTATTGATATAACAAAATATCTTAATTTACCTTTAGAACTTTTACACTAGATACAAGTATATACTTTTGCTATCTAAGAGGGTACACTAACTATAAGCAATTATATATCTTAGTATTTTCAATTTCCTATTAATTGTACATTGCTTGTTACAATCCTAATGAAATAAAGAGTAAAAAGTAACAAATTTTACAGAGTGCATAAAACAGCAATATAAAAGCATCTTTATATTTAAAAAAACCCCTGAAATGCTTTGATAAGAGAAGTTTATGTATCCAAAACACATTCCATATTTACAACTAAATGATTTATTAGAGGGATTAATTGTAGTTAGTGAATTAAACTAATTATTTCAAGTTAGACTGGGAAAATATTCAAACACGCCTAAGTGAAAATGACTGGACGTTAAGTTTCTAGTCTCATGAAAATGGGAGTCCCCTAAATTATTTAAGCATTACTAATATAGCAAAGTAGGTCAGCCTGGGTTCAACAGTTAGATCCTCCTCCCCGCAAAGTTTTTTGGTACAGAAAAGCAGGCTGTAAGACAAAATTTTTGAGAGAGACTTGTGGAGTCAACATATTGATTTTTTATTTTAATATTGTAAGAGATTATATTCTGATGGAATCAACATCCAATTCCTGGAACTGATCTGTTAAATTGGGAATGAGCAGCTAGATGGATTCAAGAGCCTAGGAACAACTAGAAGTAAATGAACTTCACACATTATCCCATGACAGACTGTGTTGAGCTAAGCCATCCTCTCATAACTGAATCCAAGGCTGAACAATTTCCCTAGCAGTGTAAGTTGGAAAAAGATTCACTCCAGCAGTAGCATCAACTTAGAAACAATAAGTGAAGACAGGTCTACTGAATTCAAAGGATTTTTTCTTTCCTGAAGTTAAGGAAAAAACAGGGGCAAAGGAAGTCATGAAACGACCCTCCTCTGCACCATGGACTTAATTATATTTAGAGCCTGGACCATCCTTAGTGTTCACATTTTTAGCTACTGGTATCTGTGGTGTCTTGACACCATAACTGATCCCTTCATTCCAAGCTTTGATCAGAGGCAGGGTTCCCACATCACCAACTTCATGTTCAGCCAATCACTCTTGCTGTGGAACATTGCTTCCTTCTCCTTTTCATGTTTCACATAGCAGGTTTATGCCTGTTACAAGATCTGTAACAGACCTCAATCACATTTGAGACAGAAACTACCTGAGATCCACAACACCAAGGTCTTTGTACTTATCTCAGTGCAAATGCTGTTCTTTGAACCATCTGAGTTCACAGGTTCTTCTGGGGATGATTTCACTTTTTAAGCCAGCAGAATTCTGGCCTAATTGAGTAATGTGAGCGCCACTGTCTGGGTTCCTAAAACTAAAGGTCTTTTCCCCAGAAAGGCATGAAAGACGGTACTACTACATCTCCATCTTCAAGGGGTCTGACACCACTTACAAATATTGCACTCACCATAACGATAAAAAGCTCTTGATTTCAAAACAGCAACAGTCTTGAAAAGGTACAATATATTCAGTCTTTTAGCAAGCCTTGCACAAAACATATTATATATAGCTTCTTTCCTTACCTACCCCTTCACAAATGCTTTACTCACCAAAAGGACGTTTCACCAAGTCAAGACAGGAGAGATGGTATGCCTTAGTACAAGATTTCCTGTCACACAATACAAGTTGACCTCCATCCCCACAACGGAAACACTCATCTTCAGACTCTTTCTTTCCCTCATTTTTTGTTTTACGTCTCCGAGTTCTTTTTTTGGTCTTTTTGCCTTTTTCCTCTGAAGAATTAGCGGAAGAATTCTAGAGAAAGAAATAATACGTTTTTAGATCCCAATACAGGAGTAGGGGGCCCACAGGGAGAGAGGGGAAATGTTCCATAACTCAGAAAGAAACATTTAAGGTAAACAGCTGGTCATTTTATCTTTAAAAAATTAAGTTTGTAGTATTAGAAAAGGCCAGACAAGGGAAAAAAGGAGGATTAACAGTAGCTAGGGCTCCCAGTTCCCATATGTTGGTATTAACAGACTTTCTCCTGGGCCATCACAACAGGGAAGCCAAGGTTACATTCACCACAGGGCACTAGGATACCCTTTTTGATCTGAGGAAGTGGGTCTGGCCCACGAAAGCTCATCATCTAATAAACCATCTTGTTAGTCTTTAAAGTGCTACATTGTCCTGCATTTTGCTCTTATCTCCAGATGACTTTGCAAAGTGAAAGCTGAGACAACACATTAGCAGGACATTGTGAAGAAAAGTAAGTTACCTTTTCAATAACAAGTGTTATTTGAGAAGTGTTGCTCATGTCCATTCTTTTATAGGTATGTGTGCTTACCACATGCACTGGTGCTTAAAGTTTTTTCCTCAGTGGTATCTACAGGGGACTGGTCTGAGGCCCTTTGAAATGGTGCATGTGTGTCACAGTATTTGGGGTGCTGCTGTCTCTCTGTACACTCAGTTCCTTCTTGCCAGAAATCCTACAGTGGGGAAGGAGGCTGAGTCATGAAATGGACATGAGCAACACAGGATGGACTGCAGAAAAGATTGCACTGGGAAGATACTACGCTTGGACGCCAAGCAGGAGACATGCTTCCATTTACTTTAGTGGAAGAATTTGTGTTTCCAAGATCAGAGCAGGCGTGTTCCTCTGGATTCAGCCACGTAGCAACCAAGCTGTGAGATGAAGAGAAGGAAGGTTCTGGTGCAGGAACCAAACACGGTATGGTGAGAGAAAATGCATATATCTGGACAGTGGCCCTAGAGCAATCACAGCCATATCTATGAGCATGCCAAACCAGTGCGGGCGAGAAAACACGAAAGCAATCATGACGACTCATGACTTGCCTTTTTTTTTTTTTAATAGGATTCTGGTGATCAACAGAATCTATGGGAATGTGTACATCAGATACCCCGACTAAGATAGGAGAAAGGCATCAGAGAGGGCTCCCCTGTTGAGGCTCTGAAGGGAGCAAAATTGATGACACAGTTTCTCCTGTCTGGTAGTGAACAGGTCCACTTGGGGAGCTTCCCACTTCTGGAAGAACACCTGGATGACTCCAAATTGAGCAACCACTCATGGTGAGAGAAAAAGGACCTGCTGAGGTGATCTGCTAATGTGTTTTGGATGCCAGGGAGATGGGAAGCCTCCAAGTGGCCTATGTTGGATGCAAGAGACCCAACGCAACGTGCTTCCTGACAGAGTTGGAAACTCTCCCCCTTGCCTGTTCGTGTAGTATACTGAAGTAATGTTGTCTATCAATACCTGCATCACTCGACCAGACAACTGTGGCAGAAAGTGGCTGGCTAAGTGGCTGGCTCTGAGCTCTCTGACATTTATGTGCAATGTCAGCTTCTCCAGAGACCATGTCCAACATCAGGGAGGCCAATAGCAATTGACTCTCAAATGGCACTCCTTCCAGCATCAAAATTGGGTTTTTCCACCACTGCAGAGAGGTTAAATACCCTTGGCGGAATCATGATGACTGTGTCCAGGAGATTCCTGGATGGGAAGTAGACTGTTAATGACCACAACTGAAGGTGATGCAGCCTAAGCCTTGCAGATGACGTAAAAGGGTGGTGCCGTGTGACCCAGTAGGCTAAGGCACGTCCAGGCTGTAGTAAGCAGAAGCACGGAGATGCCAGTGATGACATAACCATTGTTTTGAACTGGACCTATGACAGAAATGCCCTGGCTCAGATATAGTCAAGTACAGTTCTGATAAACTCTATTCTTTGAGCCAGAATTAACATTGATTTTTCCTTGTTTATCAATAGGCCAGGGTATGGCACATGGCTTGCAGCATGGAGACATTGTACTGGATCTGCAATCTGGAGTGGCCCTTGATAGCCAGTCACCAAAGTATGGGTAAATCTGGATACCCCTATGCCTGAGATAAATTGCCACCACTGATATGCATATGCATTTTGAAAACACCTTTGGAGCTGCTGATAGGCAGAAAGCGAACACTGCGAACTGGTAGTGAGTAGACCCCTCCGTAAATGCAAGAAAAGTATATGTCCATAGACTACTGATACATGGAAGTAAGCGTGCTTCAAACTGAGGGCGGTGTACGAGTCTCTTGGATTCAGGGAAGGGATGATGAAGGCCAAGGAGAGCATGTGAAACCTCAATTAACTGAGATATTTGTGGAGGTCTTGCAGGCCCAAGATGGCTCTTAGACTCCCTTAGCCTTTGGGATTAAAAAGTAACCGGAGTAAAAGCCCTTGCCTCAAATTTAGAGGGACGTCTATAGCCTTATAAAAGGCCTTGTACCTTCTGCAAGCAGTTTCTCATGAGAGTAATCCCTGAAGGAGGGGTAGAATGTGGGGAAAAACTGGAGGGTTTAATTCTGGCTGCAGAATCCAATGGTCTGAAGTTAAAGCAGCCCAGGCAGAGAGAAAAGGGGACTGGCGGTTGGAGAAATGCTAGGAAGCAGGATGCCTTCAAAATGCCTGCTTAACACCCTGCTGAGTGAAGGGAAAAGACTAATGGCCTTGTCAGCGTTTATAGCTCTTGCCCTTCTTACAACAGGGCTCCATATGGGGCTAACTTCCCAAACTTTCGGCCTCAGCAGTTGAAATTGCTTCCTCAACAGCCGTGAGGTATTAAGACCCAGGGTCCATAGGATTGACCTCAAACTTTAAGCCATGTAATTTTGTATCTATCTGTTTGGAGAGGCACTGCGAGCCAAACAAACATAGCATCCTGGATTGACTTATGAATCTCCAAAATGACAGGACTCAAGAGCGTAACCATGATTGCCTCAGGGAGATAGCAGAGGCCATGGTACAGGCCACATAGCCTACTGTATCTGATGCCACCTGAGAGCTGCTTTGGCCACCACCTTGCTCTCATTGAAAACCACTAGAAATTCCTTCCTGCAGTCCTTGAGTACTGAGTCAGAGAACTAGGCCATGGATTTCAGTGTCATAGTCATAGTGGTTAAACAGGACCTGGTGATTGGGCACCCACAGCTAAAAGCTTGATTTTAATTTTTTTTTCCCTGGATAGAGCACCTCTGTCTATTTTTGAGTGTTGCACCCAACTGACCCTATCATTCAAGCTCATCAACGGCCAACACCAACAGTGAGCATGGGGCAAGGTGAGTGTAAAGGGTATTCATAAACTTAAGCCAGCACACGATATTTGTGTTTTGCCCACCTGGATATGGATGGGAGAGAGGGGAGAAGAGAGAGGCAGCAACAAATGCATTTGCCTCAAGGACTTAGTAATTTTGGCTACTTCATGTACCAGCAACACCGCCTGGTCAGGGCTGCCATTCTTAGCATGTCAAAAAGGAAGTCTGAAGGTTCCTCAAACTCCTTGGCCTGTAGCCCCAGGTTTGAAGTGACTTAACAGCTCTTGATAAGTCTTGGGATTATCCTGGGGAACTGTATGAGGAGGCCACGTAAAAGCCTTGTTGGAGAGGCGGGAGGAAATGAGGAAGTGGCTACAAGCGGGGCTGCCACCAATGACTCCTCTTCCATGGGCCCTTCTGTTGCAGCTGGGTGATCCTAAAGGGTCTTTCTAAGATTACATCCGTTTTGGCAGGTAGGTGGGAGACAGTCGCCAACAGCTTATCCAAGGCCCCCAAAGCCAACTTATACCCTTGCAATGGTTGTGGGAATACCTAAGGATTCCAGAGGTGGCAAGGGACAGGCCACTGGCCATGATGCCACAATGTTCCAGACAGTGCTGAAGGGAGCATCAGTGCTCTTGATAAATGACCTTGACTAAATGGTAGATACTCCTCCTGGGTAACAGTGTGAGACATGAAGGGACTGCATTTGGGGAATAAGGATGATGCAATCAATCCTGGTCATGACCTTAAAATCCTGCTGGGGATTTGCATAACAGCAATGATTCTCCATGCTGTGATCCTGGAGACTGGTGGTAGCATTCAGCAGATAGCTGATGGTAACTCAGCGAACTATGCGTAATACTCCATGAGTTCACTAGAGTCCCAGGCTGTGCAGGTCACGGAACACTGAAGGGCTGGCTGTGGGAGGCTAATTCCCAGCCCTGCCCCTTCTGCCTGAGGCCCTGCCCCTTCCTGGGGCCAGAGCTGCCACCTTACTTTGCCCAGGGACCCAGCAATTCTGTTATCAATCCTGATCCTCCCTGTGAAGTGTCTAGAGCAGTATTTCCCAAATGGTGTACAGTAAATCCCTGTACTCACTCTCAGGGAGTCTTACCAATTTAGCTATCGTATATCGCTTGCTGGAGAAGTGAATATAATTGGGGAATCACTCATAAAACCATGCGCCAAAGATATTGTAATGTGTATGATGGATGAGGAGTCTTGTCAAAGTTGAGGCTATGCCGCTATCAAACAATACTATCACGTATCATATTCATGATTTTGCTGCTGACATTAAGAAGGAGCTTATTTTTCAGCGGTATTTATGTGATGAATATTCATTACAATTAGTCCTCTGACGTTACAGGTCTTGCAGTTTTGCTTGTATTTGTCCATTATGATTTTTATAAATCTATTGATGACGACTTGCTTTTATGCGAATTTTTGCATACCAATACGACTGGCGAGAATATATTCAATTAGGATTTGTTTATTATCATCCTTACTTATTTGTAGTCTATTCTATATAGAGCTGAAAAAGTACTGTCAAAATTCTTTCGCGTTTAAAAGGGTTCCGTGGCCAAATAAAATTGGGAAACACTAGTCTAGACTGAGCAGCATCAAAGACCACATATTAGACAGCAGCCTCTCCAAAGTTAAGATGAAACTTTCTTTCTTTTAGAAGCTGGATTTTTTTCTTCCTCTACCATTTCCTATAACAGC